TTTTTTTAAATTAGAGTTATTTAGTTTTTATAAATTTTTATAATTAATAAAAATCTGCATTTTGTTTGTGACTAGAATACAAATAAGATACTATAATAGAACACAACTTTACAACAAATAATCTCGACGCTATGAGAGCACAAAACTGAATTGAATCTACCTGTATGTATACCTGGGACCCCTTCAACATTAACGGCCCCTTCATACCTATGAATTGGACCTATATACCACAGGACTGCCACCTCGAGCATAAAAATTTCATTCTCATTACTTTTGTAATACACCTCATATACCGCTCGATCAATGGAACACTTGAGCGAAAAGATATTGTCGATTAAATCCTGCTCATGCGTCGAAATAATGAATTTTGTGCTATAAAGATAAAATTTTCATAAATTGATGTAGCAAAATATATTTCCTCATAATTTTTTAAGAATATCGTCTAATATACATATATATATATACATATGTGATTATCTATTTTTGTTACATATTTGTAAATGAAAAAGGTATACTATATTGTATACCGTGATTGTAACGTATAAAACGAGATTTTAGGAAGAGATATAGATTTAAGAACATTGCATAAAGACTCTATCAGCCATTTATATATAAATTAGAATTATTATTATGTACTGTTGACTATGTATATCCCCATCAATTTACCTGATAGAATCTAATTGCATGCAGAGACTATTTCATGTTTTTTTAAATATAATCAAACGATCTTTATGTTGATTATTTAATGTATATTCTATTACATTTAATCTACATTTACGTTACAATTTGCTATTTAGTAAATAACAGAGATGAGGGAGGTTGCCGCAAATAAAATTGAATGAGCGATACAATCATGACGAAATTAAGTGATAAAATTATATGTATAGTAGCAAAAGCATATTGTTAAGATGTTAATTTGCTCTTTTTTCTCTTTGATTTTTTTGAATGTAATTATAAATCACAATCATTATTTTTATTCATATGTAACCTTTATTCATGTAATGCGCATAAATGGTGGTTAAATTTTATAATTTTATGATTAACGAGCACACAACTAACTGTATAATCTTAGTGATGATTTATAACAAGAACTTTTATCAATTTATGTACATATTACAGACCGCGATTTTACGTGTAATATATAATTCTATGCATACTTACACACACGTAAATAAACCGGCAACTACGAATACATTGCTTATAAGATGCAAGATGCATATATAAGGTGTATATACAAAGAGAGACTAAAAAATATTTCTGAAATGACCGAATATCTCAAAAATTAAGCATCTGCGAGAACAATGTTTCAAACAAATGATGTAGCTTTTAAACTGATTGAATGGTATTTATTTTAATTTTGGATCACTTTGTAAAGATCATTTTTAAAGATCATCTCGAATTGTTTAAATAAAAACTAACATCTTTTATATATTATATTCTTGTAACTGATATCGAGACCTTTTCAAAATGATGTGATCAAATCTTCTTTTGCGGAAAACTTCTTAAGTTATGAGTCATGGAAATGATGATATCATCAGCTTGGCGTGATCGATACACTTGTGGTTTGGAGTTATTAAATACCGTAAGAGTGACAAACTACAGGGTCCTGATTTCTACACGACACACACATAATATATATATATACAAGAGGAGATGTAAATCACGCTAATGTCAGTGATAGTATAAGTTCTTCTGGTGGCTTAATTATACTATTGTGAAAAAGTAGTATAATTAAGCCTTCTTTCGACATCGGTTATAAGAATATAATGTATAATAAATGCAATTACTATTTAAAAAAATTCGAGGTGACTTTTGAATGATCTTTACAAGATGATCCAAAAGCAAAATAAATATCACCATTCAACCACTTTAAATCTTACAACTTTTATTTGAAACATTGTTCTCGCAAATGCTTCGTTTCCAAATTATTCGGCCGTCTTGGAGTTTTGTACGTATTCTGTACGTACAGGCGATAATTTCTTGATTCCTTTTTCTCTTTTAAATTTAGTGCTATAATCCATGCGATCATCATCTTTATTCATGTAATGCGAATAAACGGGATAAATTTTCAACTGTTAATGAGATATACTGATCACAACGATTAATGATTTATGACGGAACTCGTAATCAATTTATGTACATATTATAGCGATTTTACGTGTAATATAATTCTGTACACACCTACATACATGCAAATACACTGTCAATTACAAATATATTGCTTATATAGCGCGCGATGCGAGATGCATATATATGTATCCCCATACATGATCTTTTTATATCCGAGCTCTTCTTTATCTTTAGTGTTCAATTTTACGATAAAATGATTTGTCGTAGAGTTAATTTACCGAATCGTTGATACAATTTATTTGTACCATTGTTGACGTTGATTCATGAATTATCCTAAGATTCTGTGCAATCCGCTATTTTATTAATACACATATCAGATACGCTACTTTGTACAATCAATGACGTTGTTAATTATAATATCGGCGCTAAATCGTTACTTATCCCAGGATAGATTTTGTACAGAATATTGTAAAATATTTTTACCGCTTTTTCTCTCTTTTTTATTTTATTATTTATATAGCATACACAAATTTTTTTCTCGCTTCTCTACCATAATTGTATAAATCGCCGTATTATTAATTAATACTATTATATTTGCCATTGTATAATGCCATGCCGTCGAGCCTTGCCATTCGTTATTCGTTCTCAGAGACGAGTCCAAAGCTATCATTTTTATTTTTTTCAATACTCACACATGGATCGCGCTGAACACGCAAGACAAGTTTTCTGTAATTAACAATGAACATTGTCGATGCGTTGGAGGGAAGAGCTATTAGTTTATAATCATTAAGCTGAAATATATAACATTTATATCGAAATATATACAGTGTATATTTCTTCCTAAATTGTGTGTTTTTTCCTGTGTGAAAAATTGATGTTTGTTGACATATAATTCGTATGTGTGTGCATTTATAAATTAAAAAATAATTATATCTAGTGAAAGAAAAAGGTTTAAGAAACATCATACGTTAACACGATACATTCTTTATTTCTGCCTTCATTTTTATAAAAGTACCAAGAATTTCAACAAAATGTGGAGACCCTTATTGCTCTGATGCTAGAATTCAACATTGTGACACTTTTACATAGATATAATCATTTCTGACGCCTTACGAGAAATATTTGCTCATGGAGTGATATTTTTTTTTTTTAATTTCGAATTTCATATCTTGTGCAAGAGAGTTTATAAAAGAGCGCTCCATTACATATTACTTATTCTATGTGTTATATGCCGGTCAATTGTATTCCTATTTGATATTATGATAAATAACACTGATATATAATTAAAATTAGCTCGTGTTTGCATATTTGATTTAATTACTAATATTATACTTGAAAATATTTTCCTCTCTGTTGCTTATTAAGCTAATAACATAATACTTTTCTCCTATAATATATAATTAATATTCTAATTCTAATTAGTCTAATGACCAATCTATCAGGCGTGTCAAACGTATAATTACTTGGAACCAGAAAACTCCGCAAATTGCGCGACTTTGAGCTGAATTGTATAAATATTTTATTCAAATATTTCACATATGTTTCCATTATTTACATATATTTATCAAATATTTATTAATATTATAAGTGTCATATATATATACCTTTTAAAACTACATATGTGTGTATGTGCGTGCGTGCATGTGTACTGAAATATACCGAATAAGTTCAAATAAAAAAGATATATATATATATAG